GCTTGCACTATAGCTTCTGGCGCAACTGGCCTGGGTATCGCCACCTCACCCACTTGGTTTCTCCCTTGTCTCCTTACTACTCAGTGTCTCTCTTACTCTCCTCATTGACCACTTACCTCTGGAAAGCTCGCTGGGCCCTTTGTGTGACGCACACTGTACAGGGCAGAGCGGTAGTGAAAAAACGGAACCACCTGATCTTTTCTGAAATCCTCCTAGTACTATGGGAAATTGTTTGGCTGGATAATGATAGTGCTCCAGATGTGACACGTGGCCTGGTGCTTCACAATACAGCTGTGTGATTGGGAATGGCCGGGAAGATGATTGGCAGGGACGGGACTTTTATTGGCTTGTTCTAAAAAGTGAAGGTAAATGATTGTATATGTCCCTTGAATCCACAGCTCATATAAGTTCTATCTTTCCTGTTACAACTGTCCTGAGTTACTTTTGCCTGGGCAGTAGAGAGAGTTTTTACTTGCCTGATATACTACAATTCACTGCCTAGAATAATTTTTGTCCAAGATAAATAATAGTGCATGCAAAACCCCACTATTAATGCAGCATAGATGTGCTCAGAGACAGCGAAGTCACCAAATGCAAAGTTATGGTTTACTGCTCCACTCTGCCCCCTTGTGTTTGTGCATTGGAATAGTCTCCAGTGATGTGATCTCTGGGTTTTCCAGTATTTTACTGCGCATTTTTTCCAGCAGAGTCAGAATAGGTGTGCAGTGTGTTAGGACTAATGTGCTGTACTCTCAGCTGTTCAGTTCCTGTCAGTTTGCCATTTGAAACACTCCAAGAAGCATTGTTACGCTTCCCTGTCACCTGACAGTCCTGTCACGTTGTACTTTGCCACAGGAACAAATGCTCACTTGAAACTGCTTTTTGTAGAGTACTGATTGGAATGTATTTCCAGCGTCCCGTCTAACCCCAAAGAGGATTTTGTACATTCCTCGAGGATGTGGTGTAGGCAGTTGTTACTTGGGAGATCTAGGTTCAGTCCCCGTGGACTGTGGTGAGGAGAAATTCATTCTTGTTTGCGAGGTGCTCACGTGCTGTGTGGTCAGGTCCAGATCAGTACCCAGAGAAGCTGTTTCCAAATGCTGGGTAGCTTGGTGCGGCACTGCATACAGTGAGACATGCTAATTCCCGCTGTTGCAGTGTCTGCATGCCAGCCTATTGGTTTCTTACTCTAGTACGTGTTGTTTCATGTGAGTGCCGGGGGGTCGTGTTTCTCTTCTGTGCACATTACAACGGTCTGGGTGTGTCTGAGCTGCGTAGAAGACAAACGTATCATGCTGTTGTGAGAGCTGCGATTCAGCCCACCCCTGCCAATGGCTCTCGCCGTTTGTGTGTTACCTCAATGGTTTTGTGTGTGGGAAATCAAAGGGGGTGGGTGGGAGAACCTGGCCTGGGGTCAGATGAGTAATGGGCAGTTGACCCTCCAGCTGTTTGTGCCCCTTGGGGTATGTTTATCCAGGGGATGCTGTGTCGTGTTAGCTCAGCAGCTCTGTGTATGCGGAGGGGCTAGCTGCTATGGCATGGGAATGCACCATGAAGTTTAACACCTCTCCTAGTGCTGCCAGTCAGGGTCCTGTGAGCGAGCAGGCTTCATGCAGAACACAGGCCAAAATTCATACGGAGCTGCCTGTAACGGCGTTGATCATTTTTTCCCCCATTCAGCCAGGCCTGCCCTGCCCCTCCGCTGGGGAGCCCAAGGCCCTATTTGAGTCTTCAGAAGACACTATTTCTCCGAGGCCCTAACTCACATGGCAGAATGGGGAATTGAACACATGGTTTCCCAAAGCCATGGGACTGTTCCTGTCCAAAGGAGAACTGGGAAGGGCTAGAGGGGAGCCCAGGAGCTTTGTAGTGGCAGCAGAATTGTAGTGTTGACGACAGGGTTTGGACTGCAGATGTTCAGTTCAGAAAACGGGCCCTGGCTCAGTGCAATTAACCTGTTGCTTTTCCCGTCCCTCTCAGGCACCTCAAGGATGTGATCCTACTGACAGCCATTGTCCAAGTGCTCAGCTGCGTCTCCCTCTATGTCTGGTACTTCTGGCTCTTGGTAAGTCTTTGGGGCCCTTCTCCCTACCCCCAGATTCAAACCTTGCCTTGCTCTCCCTTCCAGCTCTGCTCCAGTTCATAGACTCCACGGCCAGAAGGACCGAGGCTGCCCACCTGTATAGCACAGGCCAGAGACCTGCCCCAGCAGAATTCCCAGAGCAGATTTTAGAAAAACCGCCAGTCTTGGTTTAAAAATGGCCAGGGATGGAGAAGCCACCATGGCCCTTGGTAAATCGTCCCAGTGGTTACTCACTCTCGCTGTTTACACCTTATTTCCATTTCATTTCTCACCCTCCCTTCCCAGCCTAGAGCTGGTTTTTGGTAAACCATGCAGCCCTCCCTCAGTCTTCTCCAGAAGAGAGAGTGCCGTTATGCACGGGAATGCTGAGGCCTGCCGGGGTTTGGGTGCCACCTCTCTGAAAGCCCTTGGACAGTGAGAGGCCCAGCGGGCAATGATAGATGGGGGAGGGGCATTTGGGGCAGAGTCCAGGATGTCTTGGGATGCGCATTGATACTTTACATGTGCGTGGTGACGGGGTGAGCTGTGAGTACTTACCTGCCTTGCCTTGACCATGTCGGTGCAGGGGCAACCCTGACTGAACTGGGGAGCTGCTGAGCGCTCAGCATCCCTGAAAATCAATTCTCCCCCCCCTTCTAACTTATCAAAGACTTTTAACACCTGGCACAGGTAGACGTACATCAAAACAGAACTTCCTGCATAGACTGATTAAAAACCGCAAACTGATTATTACCTAGCTTTGTCACCAGTGGGTCTGTGTGGCAGAAGCCACCCGTTATAAATGGCTGGCTGACTAAAACGTAACTCAGAATATTTTCCTTTGTCGGTGGAGCGGCCTCGTGTCTGACCCCTGTACTGGGCGTCTTGTCAGGAGGAATAGACTGAATTGAATAAGCATTGAAATGGAGTAGCCCATATTCTCCTATTCCGAGGAGCAGTCCTCCTGGAATGGGGGCGAGCCCGTTGCTGGGAAGTGGGGCCTGGTCTGTGGAGATCTTAGGAACTGAAGCCAAGATTTTCATGACTAGGCTCCAATCATGAGGCCTCAAGTCTATATTTAGGCCCCTAAAGAAGCGGGTGGTTCTCAAAAGTGCGGAGCCCCTGCAGCTCCCATTGACTGCGGCATGGATCTAGGGGCACCTTTCACCAGCACTGATGTCATTAAAGACTAGACCCAGGTCTGGATGTAGAATCAGCTTCTCTGGAGCTCTGCGGTCCCTGGTAGCCGAGTGTCGTCCTACAGTAACTGAGTTTGCTGCCTGTTGTGCTTTGTAGGCGCCAGGACGGGCTCTCTATCTCCTGTGGGTGAACATCCTGGGGCCCTGGCTCACGGCCGACTCTTCAGCTGCCACCCAGGAGCCAAATGAGAAGAAGCAACGCCGCCAGGAGCGCCGCCAGATGAAGCGCTTCTAGCTACACACGTGGGGGTGGATTCGATCTAATTCACCATCTCCACCTGGTTACTTCATCAGGGATGCGATTTAAACCAATCAGAAACCATCACAGTGTCTGTCACCCTCTCATCGATCCATTCCGCTCTAAAGGCTGCCAGAGACTTCCCTTGACTGCTTCTGATGGTCACATCAGGGGCTGCTCCACCACTTGGGGCCTTACTTGACAAGGGGGAGGGAGGTTACGATGGGATATGTGTAAATAGCTTTTTCAAGCAATGGTGTAATGAGTTTGGGGATTGGGAATTGCCTTGTTGGAGGAAATATATTAAAGAGGAGAATCTAAGCGATGGGACTGATGGCCGATGTTTGCTTCAGGGTCAAACTTTGCAACAACAACAAAAAAATCACCAGCAGGCAGAGACGAGAGCTGGAAAATGTCATGCCGCCAAGTGAAAGTTTGACAAAGTTCTAAGCAGTGGAGAAAGGATGTTCAGAGTGGAGCTGGCTACTCTCACTGAACTATCACTGACAGGCTGGGACCGTTCACAATAGTCCCCCAGCACTGCCAGAAGCTGGTGCTCAGATTTCAAGTTCTTGGGTGACACCTTCCCCCATTTCTTTGCTAGTCCCCTAGTGAGGCCTCCAGCGTCACTGACACTTCCCATGTAAACAGGAGTGGAAAAAAATCTTTATTGGGGGAATTAAAATCCTCCTTACAGCTGAGGAATGGTCAAGGGCAAAGGCATTTTTACAGGCAATGTCTAGACCAAGGGTGGGAAGCAAATAAGCAGTTGATTGAGTTCTGGTGCAGACTGTGCTGACCAGAGCGCCTGCTGATGAGGAAATATCGCGCTGTCAGAAGCTTTTCATGGCATGCAGCCTAAATTTGATTTCTTTAATAATATCCAGTTCCCTCTCACCAACTAGAGAAGTCACTCCGAGCTGTCTGGCTTCCCCTCTGCCCAGGTACTACAGTGATGAGCACAGTACAAGAACCGATCTAGACTAGAACAGACCTGGTGCTCCTTCAGCCACTCGTCCAGCTCTGCTCCTCCAACACCTCACACCCTTCCACCCTCCCTGACCAAGCTACCGCTCCCTCCTAGGGTTTTAATCTATGATCTGCAGATTTCTCACAGTCCTCTCAGTGATTCCTAGAGAAACATTTCTCTTCTCCATCTTGGATTTGGGCTGTTTAACTATCTTCCATCATCCTTCCTTCCCCCAGTGTAACGCCCTCCTCCTGCAACAGCATTTAAAAAACACAACCCCCAAAGCACCCCTGGTGCTAGTTCCCTCCCGTGGCATTGCATGCATCTTAGCCATCGTCCCCTCCCCCCCACCCTCACCGCTGCATTCCATCCTGCTAAGCTATGTCCTGCTGCAGGAATCCACCCAACCAGCTCTCCCTTTGCAGGACCCGATGCTGAATGGATGGGAGGAAGCTCTGAAATGGCAGCCTGCCTCCTCCAGGTGAGGACTGACCTGCCGACCAGTCACAAAACGAATAATAAATACGCAGACCCCTGGGCACCCTAAATGCTTTGGACGGCTGCAGTCAGACACGCACACAAGACAACTCCCTTTTGTGCCAAAGGCTTCCTGTCCACAAGGCAGTGTGGCCTGGGAAATGGGACTCTGCCACGGGGCAGGCAGGTCAGGACCCTGCAGACCTGGTCAGTCCGGCAGCAACTGCTCTAGCTCCTCCTCATTCAGTCTGTTGGTGGCGATGATGTGGTCAAGCTGCTGCCTGTACCGTTCCATGTCCTGCATGAAATGGGGGATTCGCGCCTTCTCCAGAACCCCAAATTGCTTCAGCTGATTCACATCTTCGTAGGAGACCTGGTGGAAAGAAAACAGATGTTTCAGGCCCTCAGGCCATCCATCCAAGGGGATCTCTGCACACACGCAGCCCCGCATGCGTTCTGATTCACTCACCTCCTGCTATAGCATCTGGGGGAGGGCTGCTAATGTAACGACACTAGCCCGGGCCTTACTGAGAGGGCACCACATGGTAGCAAGAATGGATGGAACGTTCCCAGGAATTCCAGGCACCTGAGCTACATGGTCGCTCTGGCCAGGAGGGATGGGGGGCTGTGACCCACCAGCTCCAGACTCTAGGGTCGGGGTCACGGAGAGGCTTCCAACAGATACTCTGATTTCTCGCTGCAGTGCATGAGACCCAACGAGCTGCGCAGATATTGGAGCCTGGCAGGTCGGGTTCCCATCTGGAGCAGAAATTGCTGATATGGAGGCAGGTGACACAGAGCACAGGCACCTTCTCTCAGGCCCAACAAACAGCGGCTCATTTGGACAGACAGGAACTCAGCTTGCACCTGGTGGGGCTGCAGCGAGGGCCAGGTACAGGGTGGGCCGGCACCGCCTTGCTCAGCCATAGAACAAACAGAAGTAAGCACACCCTTATCACCGTGACAGGGACCAGAGCACCTACCCTAGGCCTACATCAGCAAATGTATCGACGTGAGCCATGCAGTGAGAAACGGGTCAGGCCAGAGCTTCAGAAATACACATTAGCCTCTGACTGCCCAGGCCAAGCTAAACCAAAGAAGGACCCACAGAGTCTCTCGGGTGTGGTGACGTTCCTGGGAGACTCCCCAGGTAGGCTGGTTAATTTGCTGGGTTTTGTCATCTCACACCGCTGGTACCTCATCTTTGTGATCAGGAAAAACGCAGGCCCAGGGTAGCAAATGACACCTGTGTCTAAAAGCTCTTCTGTGCGGTAGAGATACAGGAGCGCGACATGACCGGTTCCACTGGGCGAGAACCAATGCTGACACGGCCATTAGCACGGGGTGAGCCTGTCTGCTCAAATCTCAGCACCATACGGAGGGGGAGGGCATAGGCGCCGATTTCCCCTCTTTTCCGTGGGTCCCCGCCCCGCCCCTCCCCTGCCCCCAACCCCACTCTGCCCCTTCCATGAGGCCCTGCCTCTTCCTCACCCCCATTCCAACCCCTTCCCCAAAGTCCCCGCCCCAACTGAGCTGACCAGAGATCCTGAGTCTGAAAGTCCTCCCCGGCCAATAGCTGAAGCATCTGTGACTAGGGTCACTGAAGGGAGGGTTGGGGAAAAGGGAACCCGTTGTGTACACTGGCAAGGTCCAGCCAACAGTCCAGGGATGAGAGGAAACTTGCATGTATGGGAGTCCGCACGTCCTGTGGATTCTGAGTGGGACAGCAGGCAGACTTCAACCACCTCGGCAGGACTCTGTGGAGAAGTCTGGCATGCTGAGCCACGTACCTGCAAGCTGCCACATGACCGAGACGTCTCAGGGAACTCCTCACTGTCATACGAGCATACGCTTTGCAGTCTTTGTATGAGCCTGGTCCTGCCTGAAACCTGGCCTGAGGTACAGAGGAGCTCGGTGTGATCTGCTCAAGAGACACTCCTGGGAATTCAACTCTCTGGACAGGGAGAAGAGAGTTACTTACTGAGACCCACTGGCGCCAGCCAGCAAAGGCGTCACTGCCTGGCTCAGACCTGACAAACTCACTGTGCCTAAAACACTGCGTCCAAGGTATTTATCCATGAAGGGCAGCTTGTGAGGTCTCTGCTGAAAGCTTGTAATGTATCGATTCTCAATCATCGCAAGCTGTGTGCACGGGTTATATTTAAGGGATAATGTAACTAGAGTGAAAACTAGGCCGTTATGGGTCTTGAGGAAAGCCCATTGAAGTGGGAAGTGACTGCCACCCCCCGTCGCTGGCTAGCCAATCACATACTGTATAGTGCTGTTGTCCACCACTGCAGCAGTGGTGGACAACCAAACGATCAGTGGCAAACCATCAACAATAAACTATCAGCCCACTGAAGTGAGATGGGCTGCTATGGTAGCGAGGGGACGGCCCTCCGCAGAAAGGCAAAGGACTGATAAGCGACTCACAGGGTGGAGAGAGACATGCTGCAGCATCCAGCCACTGAGAAAGAACCTGGGGGAGTGGCGATGCTGCAAGGAAGATGCTGGCCTAGCTCCTAGGGACTAGCAAATGCTGCAAAAGACTGAACTGTCAGGAGAGAATCTACCTGATTGGCTCGGAAAGGTCACTAGTACTAAGTGTCAGCCCTAGTTTGTGTTTTATGGTTGTTTTATATGTAACCATTTGTTTCCCTCACTCACACTTGTATCCATTCTCTTTTTCATAGAAATTCAGGCCAGGAAGGGACCTGGATAGGTCTCTAGTCCAGTCCCCTGCACTGAGGCAGGACTATCTAGGCATCCCTGGCAGGTGTTTGTCCAACCTGCTCTTAAAAACCACTGACAATAGAGATTCCACAACCTCCCTAGGTTATCTGCTCCAGTGCTTAGCTACCCTGAAGTTAGGAAGTATTTCCTAATGTCCAACCCAAACCTCCCTTACTGCAGTTTAAATCCATTACTTTTTGTCCTGTCCTCAGTGGTTAAGGAGAACAATTTTTCACCCTCCTCTTTATAACAACCTTTTATGTACTTGAAGACTGTTCTCATGCCCCTCCCCTCCCCTCCCCGCAGTCTTCTCTTCTCCAGACTAAACAAACCCAATTTTTTCAGTCTTTCCTCACAGGTCATGTTTTCTAGACCATTCATCATTTTTGTGGCTCTTCTCTGGACTTTCTCCAATCTGTCCACATCTTTCCCGAAGTGTGGTGCCCAGATGTAGACACAATACTCCACTTGAAGCCTTACCAGTGTAGAGTAGAGTGGAAGAATTACTTTTTGTGTCTTGCTTAATAACACTCATAGAATCATGGAATATCAGGGTTGGAAGAGACCTCAGGAGGTCATCTAGTCCAATCCCCTGCTCAAAGCAGAACCAACACCAACTAAATCATCCCAGCCAGGGCTTTGTGAAGCCGGGCCTTAAAAACCTCTAAGGATGGAGATTCCACCACCTCCCTAGGTGACCCATTCCAGTGCTTCACCACCCTCCTAGTGAAATAGTGTTTCCTAATATCCAACCTAGACCTCACCCACTGCAACTTGAGACCATTGCTTCTTGTTCTGTCATCTGCCACCACTGAGAACAGCCAAGCTCCATTCTCTTTGGAACCCCTCCTTCAGGTAGTTGAAGGCTGCTATCAAATCCCCCCTCACTCTTCTCTTCTGCAGACTAAATAAGCCCAGTTCCCTCAGCCTGTCCTCATAAGTCATGTGCCCCAGCCCACTAATAATTTTTGTTGCCCTCTGTTGGACTCTCTCCAATTTGTCTACATCCCTTCTACAGTGGGGGGACCAAAACTGGATGCAATACTCCAGATGTGGCCTCACCAGTGCCGAATACAGGGGAATAATCACTTTCCTCGATCTGCTGCCAATGCTCCTACTAATGCAGCCCAATATGCCGTTGGCCTTCTTGGCAACAAGAGCACACTGCTGACTCATATCCAGCTTCTCGTCCACTGTAATCCCCAGGTCCTTTTCTGCAGAACTGCTGCTTAGCCAGTCGGTCCCCAGCCTGTAGCGATGCATGGGATTCTTCCTTCCTACGTGCAGGACTCTGCACTTGTCCTTGTTGAACCTCATCTGATTTCTTTTGGCCCAATCCTCCAATTTGTCTAGGTCACTCTGGACCCTATCCATACCCTCCAGCATATATACTTCTCCCCCCAGCTTAGTGTTGTCTGCGAACTTGCTGAGGGTGCAATTAATCCCGTCATCCAGATCATTAATAAAGATGTTGAACAAAACCGGCCCCTGGACCGACCCTTGGGGCACTCTGCTTGCTACCAGCTGCCAACTACACATCAAGCCGTTGATCACTACCCATTAAGCCCAACGATCTAACCAGCTTTCTATCCACCTTATAGTCCATTCATCCAGCCCATACTTCTTTAACTTGGTGGGAGACCGAATCAAAAGCTTTGCTAAAGTCAAGATATATCACATCCACCGCTTTCCCCATATCCACAGAGCCAGTTATCTCATCATAGAAGGCAATCAGGTTGGTCAGGCATAACTTGCCCTTGGTGAATCCATATTGACTGTTCCTGATCACCTTCCTCTCCTCCAAGTCCTTCAAAATGGATTCCTTGAGGACCTGCTCCATGATTTTGCCAGGGACTGGAGTGAGGCTGACCGATCTGTAGTTCCCTGGGTTCTCTTTCTTTCCTGGGGCACTATATTTGCCTTTTTCCAATCGTCTGGGACCTCCCCTGATTGCCATGAATTTTCAAAGATAATGGCCAGTGGCTCTGCAATCACGTCAGCCAACTCCCTCAGCACCCTCGGATGCATTAGATCTGGACCTATGGATTTGAGCATGTCCAGCTTATCTAAATAGTCCTTAACCTGTTCTTTCACCACTGAGGGCTGCTCACCTCCTCCCCATACAGTGTTGCCCAGTGCAGCAGTCTGGGAGCTGACCTTGTCTGTGAAGACCGAGGCAAAAAAAGCATTGAGTACTTCAGCTTTTTCCTCATCATGTGTCACTAGGTTGCCTCCCCCATTCAGTAAGGGTCCTACACTTTCCCTGACCACCTTCTTGTTGCTACCATACCTGTAGAAACCCTTCTTGTTACTCATAACATCCCTTGCTAGCTGCAACTCCAATTGTGTCTTGACCTTCCTGATTACACCCCTGCATGCTCGAGCAATATTTTTATACTCCTCCCTAGTCATCTATCCAAATTTCCACTTCTTGTAAGCTTCCTTTTTGAGTTTAAGCTCACCGAAGATTTCACTGTTAAGCCAAGCTGGTCGCCTGCCATATTTGCTATTCTTTCTGCACATCGGGATGGTTTGTTCCTGCGCCCTCAATAAGGCTTCTTTAAAATACAGCCAGATCTCCTGGACTCCTTGCCCCCTCATATTAGCCTCGCTGGGGATCCCGCCCATCAGTTCCCTAAGGGAGTCTAAGTCTGCTTTTCTGAAGTCCAGGGTCCATACTTTGCTACTCTCCTTTCTTTCTTTTGTGAGGATCCTGAACTCAACCATCTCATGGTCACTGCTGCCCAGGTTGCCACCCACTTCTATTTCCCCTACCAATTCTTCCCTGTTTGTGAGCAGCAGGTCAAGAGAAGCACGGCCCCTTGTTGGTTCCTCCAGCACTTGTACCAGGAAGTTGTCCCCAACACTCTCCAAAAACTTCCTGGATTGTCTGTGCACTGCTGTATTGCTGTCTCAGCAGATGTCAGGGTGATTGAAGTCCCCCATTAGAACCAGGGCCTGTGATCTGGAAACTTCAGTTGTCCGAAGAAAGCCTCGTCTACCTCATCCTTCTGATCCGGTGGTCTATAGCATATGCCCACCATGACATCACCTTTGTTGCTCTCGCCTCTAAACTTAACCCAAAGACTCTGAACAGGCTTTTCTCCAGTTTCATACTGGAGCTCTGCGCAATCATACCGCTCTCTTACATACAGTGCAATTCCTCCACCTTTCCTCCCGTACCTGTCCTTCCTGAACAGTTTATACCATCCATGACAGTGCTCCAGTCATGTGAACTGCCCCACCAAGTTTCTGTTATTCCAATCACATCATAGTTCCTTGATTGTGCCAGGACTTCCAATTCTTCCTGCTTGTTTCCCAGGCTCCTTGCGTTCGTGTACATGCGCCTAAGATAACTAGCCGATTGCCCTGCTTTCTCAGTATGAATCAGGAGGCTTCCCATCTTGTACCTTTCTCCTTGTGTTTTCTCATAGTATCCCACTTCCCCACTCCTGCTAATACATCCCAGAATGATGTTTGCATTTTCCCAACAGTGTTACACTGTTGACTCATTTGTGATCCACTATAATCCCCAGATCCCTTTCCGCAGTAATTTTCTATTCGGTATTTGTGCTAAATTCCATCATTTAAGAACAGGGTTAATGACCAAAGCTGGGTTTTTCATGTTAATCTCCTGAGTATTTACATTAATCAAATAGCAAAGTTTACGATTACGTCCCTAAGACCAAGGGGAAGAACCCTGGTTATTGCACTGGCTGGGGGTGTAAAATCGTCACATAAATAATCCATAAACCATGGCCCATCCTGCAGCAGAACCGTTCCCATGTACTGATTTCACATCAGGAAACAGGTTCTGTCCATCACTCCAGGCTGTTACCTTGCCCAGTGCTGCCAGCAACCGGAAGTCAATAGTCTGCCGATGCCTCAGGATCCGGAGAATTCCATCCAGATACACTTGATCCTTACTGAAACAGCCTGGAAGAGAGTAAGGAGGAGAAGTGGGAGCCCAGCCACCTCCCAACATGCTGGCTGCTGCGGACCTAATTTTCATCCCACTCTGGTGCAAATCAACAGCATTTCAACAGACGTCAGCTGGGGTGTGTCTGCACTTGGTGCGAGGGGAGCAGTGCCCAGCTCACACAGACATACCGTGCTGGCTCTCATCAGCTAAAAGGATCATAGTGCAGCTGCAGTAGCAGAGCAGTGGCACGGGCTGGCCGCCCCAAGTACAAACCCGCCCAGGCCCCCTGGGTTTGTACATGGGTAGCCAGTGCTCCTGTGGCTCCACTCCTGCTTGTAATGCGCTGGCTCGATGAGCACTACCGTGAGTACGTCTACACACGCTCAGCACTGCAGCCCCAGCTCCAAGTGTAGGTATCCCTTAGAGTTAGACTAGGAAAGAGCTGGTGTAAGTGAGGTCAGAAGCAAGTCCAATGGGCTGGGGTCAGTACTAGGACCAGCGGTCTCCAATATATTCATTACTGACCTGGAAAAGGGGGTGAAGAGGGAGGAGATGAAATCTGCGTAGGAGAAAATTAAAGCTATCACTGTAAACTATAAGGGGTTTCCTGGGCCTGCTTGCAGGTTAGGGGGCTCTGAGAGAAGCTGTGTGATCTGGTTTCTTCAGACCAGTGGTTCTCAACTTGTGGTCCAGGGACCCCTAGGGGTCCGCAGACTATGGCTAAGATCTCCAAAGGGGTCCGCACCTCCATTTGAAATTAAGGGGTCTACAAATGAAAACAGGTTGAAAACCACTGTTCTAGACTCTCCTTTATACTCCAGCTCAGCAGGTTTCTGTGGACAACACAAGCTTAAGCATGGTAAATGTCGTTTTTCCCACCAACGTTAGGAAAACAGCCCTCTGTTTATCAGTATCCTCTATAGCATACGCGTAAAAATACTGCTCAAGTCTCTGAATGTATGTTGCAAAATCTTCCTTTTTTCCCCCCATTAAATTGGAAACTCTCCAGACTGCAGTAGGTAGCCATTTTATCTCTACTCTTCGTCATCCTCTTTTATTTTTCTTTCCTAAAGAAGCCGTCCCAGCATTCTCTGTTACGTTCACAGCGCGCGCGCGCGCACACACACACACTCTCTCTCTCTCTCTGCAGGCTGCCATGTAGTGCTACGTCATTTCTGAGACTATGTCTACACTTGGCGCTGGGGCGCAGCCTGAGGAGAGACAGGGTGCTAAAACCAGAGCGTAGCTGTGGCAGTGCGAGCTGCAGGACGGACCAGCCACCCCTAAGTATGTACCTGTCTGAAAGTCTGGCCCATACTCAGCATGCCTAGCTCATGGCTACGGTTGATTTGTAGTGCGCTAGCTGGGTGAGAGCCACCTCGAGCTGGGAATCACACCCCTAGCTGCACGTGTAGATGTACCCGTAGAGTCCAGATCCCAAAACAACCAAAAAACCCAGAGAGAGACGAAGCAGGCTGCTCCCTAAGACAGAGAGAGGCCTAACTCACCCCACTTTGCTCTAGGCTGGCTTTCCACAGACTGACTGCTGCTATGCCCAGATCACACACTTCCCTACCGAGCCCCCTAGCCTGCAAGCAGGAGCAGGAAACCCGTTATAATTTAAAGTGGTAGCGCTGGTAATGGTAACACAGTTTTCAATACCCCACAAGTGACGCACTAGTAGAGGACTGTTTAATCTAGCAAATAAAGTCAGAACAAAATCCAAGGCCTGGGAGTTGAAACTAGATGAGGGTAATTAACTCGGGGGGAGTGATAGCTCAGTGGTTTGAGCATTGGCCTGCTAAACCCAGGGTTGTGAGCTCAATCCTTGAGGAGGCCATTTAGGGATCTGGGGCAAAAATCAGTCTAAGGATTGGTCCTGCTTTGAGCAGGGGGTTGGACTAGATGACCTCCTGAGGTCCCTTCCAACCCTGATATTCTATGGTTCTATGACTAACCGTTGAAAAAACTGACACAGAGGTGTGGTGGATTCACTGTCACCTGAAGTCTTTAAACAAAGACAGGGGCAGCTGCTCAAAAGTATTCCAGTGCCTAGCTCCCAGTGAAACCAATGGGAGTCAAGCGCCTAAGTCCCTCTGAGTGATGGGGCTGCTACAGGGATCCCTGGTGACATTCTCCAGCTGTGTATGCAGGAGGGCAGAAGGGATGGTCACAGTGACCCCTCCTGGCCCTAAAATCTATGAAAAGCATGAGCAGTGGCAGCGCTCTTTGTAATCACAGTACTTCAACGACTGTCTACAAGGGTTCTGAGTGTTAAGTGTAAGTATCTGTCTGATAAACACAGGCTGGTTCCCCCGTCTGTGACAACGACTGGGAGCTGTTACTATCACCCAAGTTCAGGGCTCCGGCTACCGTAGCGCTGCCTTGGACTCTGCGTAACGCTTCCTGAAAAGCCCTGGACAGACCCAACTCTGCAAGTGCTACAGCAAAAAGGTGCCGGCGTGGGGTTTTCAGAGGAGTTGTGCACAGAGACCCCATATCCCACATTCCATCTAGTCAGTTTCACTGTTACCCCTCTACAGTCAGCCAGTTTCTCCTCTGGCTCATGTGGGTCTCTCGCACAGCCAAATGACAGGGGCTGGGCTAGGACCTGAGGCTACTTTTTTAATTCATTTTTGCAGAGGACTTAAAGGGTGACCTTCAAAGCTAGTCAGCGACACAAGAAAGGGAGAACCTTTCAGGGAAGACACCCCCCCACCAGGGTGTCCCCTTCCCCAGCCACGTGAGCTCAGGTTAGAAAGGAGCTGCTGGCAGGGGCCACCACGGACTCCACTAGCCAGAGCAGGGCCCAGCTGTGACACCACGGCCTTGTACAGTTCTCATGCTGGACCCTGTGCTGATGGGTGTCTGCACCATCCCCCTCCTGCCACCTGCCCTCCACGCTCACCCTCCCTTTCCTGCCAATCCCCACCTAAAACAGCAAGTCCCCAGCCCTGCACACACCCAGCAAGAGACCCTCCGTGCTCGGCTGAGACAAGCTGGAACATAGGGCAGGAGAACAGGGACTCACCCCTGGGCAGTAGCAGAGCTGGGAACAGACCCCAGCCTCCCAGCCCAGTGTCTTAACCACCAAGTCCCAGCCCCACCCACGGGCCTGTCTCTGCCGTGGCGCTATCTGCCCACCTGGCTGTGAGGTGTCAGTCTGGCCTCGTTTTGCCCGCACGCAGTACTCCCACCGGACCCGGGCGTCTTGGACGTACTGCTCCAAGTGCTGGAAGAGCGCGCTGAAGGACATGTGACTGGCCTGGTGGACGGTGTAGTACAGCAGCGCTGCCCGCCACAGAAAGGGCTGCTTACGGAAGAGGACACTGTGCAGACTAGCCAGGCCTTCTTCTGTGGGGTTAGCAGGCTTCAGGCCGTACCGCTTACGGCCCTCCATGCTGTGCCAAGGCTGGCGGGCATTATTCACCCCACGGATGTAGTGCGTGCCTAGAGAAGACAAGGGAGAGAAATTAGTCAGCTACAACCCGTGTCTCACGCACCCCGTGAAAGCCCCTGGGCAATGGGGCTAGGAAATCAGGAGCATTGGGGGGAAATCATTCCCCACATTGATAAGGGACATGGCAAACCCCACAGCTGCTCTTTCAGCAGATACAAGTCTAAGAAAAGCTGGTCTCTCTCACCAACAGAAGTCGGTCCGATAGAAGGTATTACCTCCCCCACCTTGTCTCTCTGACAAAACCTCTGACATTTGATCTTCTCCCTCAGCGCTAAGAGGCACAGCAGCCACTAGCTATGCTCTAGGACTGGTGGCAGGAGGGCTGGAATAATACTCAATTAATCCTTTGATATCTAAACTGTCCCCCGGGGCCAGATGGCTTCACTGCTGAGTTTAACAAACTTTTACAAACTCTAGGCTCCATGGTTCAATAACTAGAAATGAACAACCCTCCCTCAGGCCTCTCTCTAGAGCAGTGCTTCTCAACCAGGGATCCGGGGCCCCCGGGGGGGCAGTGAGCAGGTTTCAGGGGCTCCGCCAAGCAGGGCCAGTGTTAGACGTGCTGGGGCCCAGGGCAGAAAGCTGAAGCACCACTGTGCAGGGCTGAAGCCCGGTGCCCCGAGCCCTGCCACCTGCGGCTGAAGCTGAAGCCTGAGCAACGTAGCTCTGCGGGGCCTCCTGTGGTTTGGGGCACCCGGCAATTACCCTGCTTACTCCTCTCTAACGCTGGCTCTGGCTTTTATATGGCATTGATGGGCCGTGGAGTTTTTATAGCATGTTGGGGGAGGCCTCCGACAGAAAAAGGTTGAGAACCCTGCTCTAGAGCCCTCCCCCCCACCACTTGCACTTGGGATGCTGAGGTGGCACTGGCACCCCTTCCAATGTGCGTCAGGTTTCTCCTTGCCTTCTCCCATCCTAGCCCTGAGAAAGCACCTCCTGGGAGGGGACACCTTTGTCTGAGAGCTCTGAATGGTCTTTCAGTGGGCACCGAATGAGGCAGGGTCCTATGGAAAAGGTAGCATGTGATCCTGCAATTAAAGCCTATATCCTAATGCATATGCACAAGGAGACCAAAGGGAGGTTGGAGGGGGAGCCCTAATTCTGGTGCTTCTGAAAGCTTGATTTTGCAACCCTAGTTTAATGAATCATAGACTATCAGGGTTGGAAGGGACCTAGTCCAACCCCCTGCTCAAAGCAAGACCAATCCCCAGATTTTTGCCCCAGATCCCTAAATGGCCCCCTCAAGGATTGAACTCACAACCCTGGGTTTAGCAGGCCAATGCTCAAACCACTGAGCTATCCCTCCCCCATGTGTAACTGTGTGTAACTATAGTGGTAGTGCTCCTACGCTGCGCTAACACCGCCCTAACACCATCCTGCCCTGTCCTAATACTACACTAACACCTTTTCAACTAATTCCAGCACTCGCGTTAACCCTCCCTCACAGCAATGGGCACGGCCGAGAGTGCTTTGGCTCTTCCAGCCATCAGTGCCATGTGTTCAGTGTTCAGTGCCATGGGCTCTGCTCCCCAATGGACACGGCTTCGAAGAGGGCTCTATGCTTGCCGCCAAGGGGCAACTCCCCCATGGGGATCACAGAGGCCTTTGAAGAAGAAAGGGCCATTTTGCAATGAAAAAAATGTCCACTGTGAAAAATTCTGAGCAGTTTTTCTTGGCGTCCTACCCCCGCCTGCTGCCCTAACCAACCCCCTCTGTGCCTCCCTCCATCGGCATTCTCCATGTAGGGCCGAGTCCTCAACCCACCGTTGTGCAGAGCCAGCTCCAAGGGGTCCTGGCACTGGATCCAGTCAGGCTCTGCAGCCCCTCACCACCTCTGGCTCTTCTCCTCCCTCCCTCCTATCGTCAGTAGCTTTGAGAGGTTGAGGTGCTCCCAGCTCAGGGTGTTATTTCCAGGGTGGTTACCCCAGAGGCCTATAGGGAAGGACGACTGCCTCCCGGCTCTGTGACATGATAGGCTCCAGCCTCCTTCTGCCCACCCCACCCCACAAAGGCCATGCAACATGCAGCTCCATTTTATTCCCTTTCAACAGCAGGAGCGTTAGTTCCAGGCGAGTCCCTGCGCGGCTCCACATCCCCGGCGCCCCACATGGCCCATGCCTCCAGCCCGGCTCTGACCTATTTCGTGGCGCAGCATGCCCTCCAGCCAGTATTGCCGGGCTCCGGCCAGGTTAATCACCAGGGTGGGCCGGCTGTTCTCCACCATCATCACGGCTTGGGACAGCAGATCCTCAGTCAGATTAACAACCACCTGGGGGCAGATGGAGAATAAGGGTCAGGATGATGGCATGGTCACAACCGGCAGCCCCATGCACACCTAGGTGATACTGTGCACTCCCAGGAAGGACTATCAAAATTTAGGTGGGCCATTATAAGACAAAAGCTTTGTTAACTGCCCAGTCCACTCATGGAACAGTATGTGCCGGCCTTGTCCATTGGCTTTGAATGCTGGAAGCGGGAAACAGAAATAGTTGATGGGGAGATTTTTCATCTCTTCGCTGTTTGAACTCTCTCAGGGCCAGAGAAGCCAAACTGAAGCCAGAGATACCCAGGGGCTACCTCCTGGGTCTGCCCTGAAAGGCACTTGGAATTGACAGATCACTACAATTCTGTCACTCTCAGAATCTAGATGATAACTCATTTCTGTGTGTTGTTTGCTTGCTTTAACCTGTAAGTAACTCATTTCTTTTTCCTAGTTAATAAACCTTTAGATAGTTTATTACAGGATTGGGACAGGCATTGTCTTTGGTGTAAGATCTAGGTACCAATTTATCTGGGCTAAGTGACTGGTCTCTTGGGACTGGAAGCAGCCTGAAATGTGGTGTAATTTTGGGTGTAAGTGACCATTTATCACTAAGTTCAGTTTGTCTGGGTGGCAAAATAGACTGGAGAGTCTCACGGGATTGTCTGTGCCCCCATGGGAAGACAGGTATGGTGATCCAGGAGTTCACATTTGGTACTGAGTTGGTGAAATCTAATTATAGAACATACCAGCAGTTTGGGGTGTCTGCCCTGTTTTTGACAGTCTGCCTTGAGGTAGGCACTCACAGTCGTGAGCCACTCCAGGTAGCGTGACAACTTCTTCTTGGAGCAGTTAGTCCTGAAGCCCACAAGGGGGGGGTGGGGGGAGTTCTGGATTTAGTCCTGAGTGGCACAGGATCTGGTTCAAGAGGTGAACATAGCTGGAACTGCTCAGTAATAGCGACCACAATGTAATTAAATTTAACTGTCTTGTAGGTAGGAAAATACCAAAGAAACCCACCACCGTAGCACTGAACTTCAAAAAGGGGGACTACACAAAAACGAAGAATCTAGTTACATGGAAATTAAAAGGAACAGTCACAAGAGTGAAATCCTTGCAAGCTGCATGGAAACTTTTTAAAAACACCATAATAGAAGCTCAAACTATAGTTACAGCCCAAATAAAAACAAAACAGTAACAGGACCAAAAAATCTTCACCACTAAACAATAGAGTAAAAGAGGAGATTAGAGACAAAAAGACATCCTTTCAAAATTGGAAGTCAAATCTTACTGAGGAAAACAGAAAGGAACATAAACTCTGAAAGTCAAGTGTAGGTATAACCAGGCAGGCCAAAAACAGAATTGGAAGAGCAACTAGCAAAAGACACAAAAACTAACAAATGTTTAAAGTACATCAGAAGCAGAAAGCTACCAAACAATCCATGGGACACTGGATGATTGAGGTGCTAAAGGAGCACTCAAAGAAGACAAGGCCCTTGCAGAGAAGCTAAATGAATTCTTTGTATCACTCTTCACAGCAGAGGGTGTGAGGAAGATTCCCACAATTGAGCCAATCTTTTTAGGTGACAAATCTGAGGAACTGTCCCAGATTGAGGCATCAATAGCGGAGGTTTGAGGATAAATTAAACAGTAATAAATCACCAGGACTAGATTAAATTAGCTAGAGACATAAGGAGTAACAAGAAAACATTCTACAAATACATTAGAAGCAAGAGGAAGATCAAGGACAGGGTAGGCCCATTACTCAATGAGAGGGGAAAGACAATAACAGAAAACGTGGAAATGGCGGAAGAGCTAAATGACTTGCTTGTTTCAGTTTTTGCCAAAAAGGTTAGTAGCGATTGGACATCTAACATAGTGAATGCCAGTGAAAGTAAGGTAGGATCTGAGGCTAAATTAGGGAAAGAACAAGTTAAAAAAATTATTTAGACAAGTTAGATGTCTTCAAATCGATAGGGCCTGATGAAATACATCCTTGAATACTCAAGGAGCTGACTGAGGAGATATCTGAGCCAGCCACAGATTATCTTCAAAAACTCATGGAAGACAGGCAAGATTCCAGGGGACTGGAAGAGGGCAAATATAGTGTCAATCTATAAAAAGAGGAATAAGGACAACCCAGGGAATTACAGACCAGTCAGCTTAACTTCAGTCCGGAATGATAATGGAGCAGATAATCAAGCAATCAATTTGCAAATACCTAGAAGACAATAAGGTGATAAGTAACAGTCAGCATGGCTTTGTCAAGAACAAATCACGTCAAACCAAACTAATAGCTTTCTTTGACAGGTTGACAAGCTTTATGGATGGGGGGGGGGAGGGGAAGAGCAGTAGAACTGGCCACCAGTTCTTACTCAAGCTTTGCCAGTGGGGCTTGAAGTCACAGTGGAATTCTGAAAGCTGGCATGGATTCTGGTATCACTGCATGGAAACCCCGCATTATAGTCCCTCTGCTGAATTCTCTTTTTGAGCTGCTTCCAGCTTACATCATTCTTCACTGACAATAGTCAAATCACCTGCTAGGATCAGAGTTCTCTCCAAGTGCCCTGGACTTGGCTGCGTAACCTCAGGCAGCTCCCTTCCTCCCTCTGCTGTGCCTCAGTTTTCCACTCTGCAAATGGAGGGTGATGACAAATCTATAAAGTACTCTAGGAGTTGGTAATGAAGTTTGCTATGTGTCATAAGCAGAAAGTGTCATTCAGCAACAGGAACAGAATCTCCACAAAGGAGATTCTGAGAATGGGATTTGGGTCTTTCTAATCTTTAACAGCAGAAGTGCTTTTGAAGTTTTCAGGCGGTTTGTACCAGGTGGCACAGTGATAAGATGTTAGCTTCAGAACACATTTCTGTAATTTCGAAGCTGCTAAAACCGGCCATCCCATTTTGGAGTCAAGAATTGTGACCAGTGATTCTGTGTCTGTGATTAAAGTAGAATTTCTCTCCTACAGAAACTCCTGGAATTTCTTCACTCCTAACAGAACGCTGTGTTACATCTGAGCACATTTTTTTATCTGCTTGACTTGCGGTTCTGAAAGTGACTGGCTGGCCTTTTGGTCCCATCTGCCATTTGTGACCAAACCCACTTCTCCCCACAGGTGAGGCTCCACCTGGACATCAAACTCTACTAGCACCTTCAAAGAAATGAGGATATTGGTCTGCATCAAATGCCTTGTGACATTCTTCACTCTTATCCGTTCTGAACAACCACAGCGCTGGGTTTTGGTTTGTGGGATTTTTACTGTAGACAGGACAGAAGAAGTTTTCCAGTTAATGAAGTAACCAGAGCTCACTAGGATCTCAGTGGTGACTTGTGACATTCTCAGTAACTCTATTTTCTCTGGTAGAGGCCTTAGAGGCTAATCTCTATGACCCACTTGTGAAAAAACCCTTCTTTCCCAGAAACACAGACCCTTCAAACCACTGCAGCACAGGACTAGGTCTCTCAAATTAGCTGCCTCATTTACACCTGTAATAAGTATTTCATCCAGGCAGCCAGTAGAACTCTGTCACATTGGGTCCTTTCTGTGCGAAACCACAGCCAGAATGTTGGCTGCCTCATACGGCAGCCTGGTATAATGGCCAATCCATGATGAGAATGTATTACAAGATTTTTAGATTCTTGTTTGTGCGCCATCTGCTGGTGAACTTGAAACAACCAGGTGGCCCATTCCTGCTCTCTCTGATAGGAGCAGCAGCATTGGCTCACCTAGCTTGGGGAACTTTTGTTCTAAGTCCAGCCAGAGGTTCCCAATTACCTTACAGTCCCCACAGCCAGAGACATGGCTAGCCTACACTGAAACATACCCTCTGGTGCCGCCCACCCCAAATATTCCATACCTGACTGGGCACTTTGGCTCACCAGCTCCTGGGTCAGAACTTACACAGGTTAACTTTGGCCCAGTGGTCTCAGCCTCATCGAAAGGCCAGCACGGGGTGAACAGTGTGGCAGATCTAAGACGAACTTTCAGGGACATCAGATAGTGTATTTGCTTTTGCCTGATTTAAGCATAAGCCCCAATGATGCACCTGTTACAATGAACATAGTAATACTGTTCACCGTATTATTCTTCCTTTACCTTAATTTCCCCACACACCTCCCACCTGCAATTTTCTTTACATTCTCCGGGTATGTGGAAATGACTTTTTGCGGCCTAACTCAAGAACACGTGGGGTTGTTCCCTGTCCTAATGAACTATGCAGAGCGAGGGGGCAATATGGGAAGTGCCCCAAGTGGAGGATTTGGGTCTCTTCTTCCCAAGCAGCCATGTATGTACCAGTGCACGGCCCAACCTCACACAAGCAAAGAACTCCTCCTCCTCCAGTGCCCTCTGGCACTTGTGCCAGTGGCTACACCTAGACCAGTGCCACAACACAATGCCGGAGGAAGGAAGTCCTCTGCTCATTCAGGTTTTGCTTCTGCTTTAATATTTATTTCTTATTCACTGTGCGTGCCATGGTCCCAAACCTGCAGATTCCCCTGCAGTAACATGTCCCAGGCAGCGACTGCCGCCTTGAGACCCACTTTTATTCGTACTGTCTTCCATCTCTCGTGGTCTCCCGTTTAGGAGCAATGAGGGCCGAGACGTGCAGGCTGAGTTCCCTTTGGCCTTGCCTGTGATGAGGCACCAGCCTGGCAGGACTTACTGTTGGGGACTTAGGGAGGAACGTACCCTCGTGGTACATTTATAAAGATTGGTTTGGGGACCGAAGGAGATTTGTGTGGGATGCTCTGGGCTCTTGCTAATGTTTGTCTCTCCTATGCTCTTCTTTCTGGGGTCTGCAATGGAGGGGCTGCTCTCTGAAGCCTGCAGGCACATGGTATTTTAACACCTTCATAAAGGGCAAAGCAGTTTCTTGGGGAAAACGAGACTACCAAGTGTGACCCTCAGAGCCCCTCACTGCCAACTGGCAAAGGGTTCACTGTTCTGTAACAGTAACTCCTGACAGGCTGTGACGATGCTGCCTGTGGGAGCCAGCTAAGGTCACTC